ATTAAAAGGAGGATTAAAAACAAAAACAAAAAAAAAAAAACAAAAAAAAAACAAAAAAAACAATAGATTAATTTGCGGGATTAATAATTAGGTTAAAAAAAAAAACAAAAAAATAGAAAGACAGATAAGCGATCGTTCCGTGTGTGTGTGTGTGTGTGTGTGTGTGTGATATAATTTCATCATTATACAATTGACTGTCGACAAGTTAAGTAGAAAATTTTTATGTGAAATATATTCTACATAAGCTATTGAAATTTATTTCGAATATACGTTTTCACATATACGATCGATAATTTCTCCATTATTTTGAAAAAATGTTGGTAAACAGCAAAAAACAATTTACGACATTACGATATTTTAGTATTGATTCCGCTATTAAGACGAAGGCGTTTATTATTTTCAGGCATAAAACACATTGGAGTTTGTGGCACACTAACATAAAAGGAGAAATAAAAAAAAAAAACCAACAACGCTGGTAACACTCAATCATAACAATCCTATTCTAATATAAAACAGCCAATTATCTTATCCTTGTAACAAGAATTTTTTTTAACATGCATTGGTATTACTTTTATCTGATAACGATGAATGTTCGTAAAAGCGCTTCTATCGATACTACGACAATGAATGCGATGAATACTTTAGATCGACATATTATGAATTTGGACTTCTATCAATTATTAGTATTTTTTAACGGCACAGTCAAGAAACCGTTGGGTAATTACGATTGTCTTGAAAAACTTACAAGAAGAAATCCCGCGATCTTCGTGGACTTGAATAAAATGCAATTACGCGATCCGAACGCATTCAAAATCAGGCAACATACTTATCAACGGAAATCATCGTTACTCATCATTATCCAGGAGAATTTTAATTCGTACAGCGCAATGACGGCGTTGGAATTTTATATGGGATTGTTGTTCAAAGGCACGAGGGCGCGATGTTTAATAATTTGCAATGATCGCGCTCAATCGATAAACGCAATTAAAATGAATTTGTACGATGCTTGGAAGAAAAAGTTTTTAGACGTTTCGGTCCTAAATTTGCATATCGCAGATGACAAAGCGAATGCCGAAATTCTCAACTATAATCCATTCTCGGATACTTATAATGCCGAACCCTACACGCCCAAAATCAACATTTTCCCCGACAAATTAAGGGACATGAAAGGATATAAATTGAACGTGCCGTTCATCGATTCGGAGCCAGACATGTTCGTCGATCAGCATTTCAATAATATTACAAAATACGGTGGATCGGGATTCACGATAATAAAATTTGTCGCCTACGCGCTCAACTTCAAAGTCAACGTCGACACGGACTTGGACACTTTTGCCTCGGCCATCGATCAATTGAAAGCCTCGAGGTTCAATATTATGTGCTTTCCACTTTTTATTACCGATTCACTTATCAACGAGAAACTGGAAATCGGTAAAATCCATGCCTTCGAAACGTATCGCGCCATGATAACACCTAGAACGACTTTACTTATCAGCGTGTCCTTCGTCACCTTTCTGCCCTTCGCATTCAGCGTCCTCGTAATATTCTTAAGCACCTACGCGATAAACGTCACCAGGAGGCATCTGCGCGTCTTTGACATTCTGCGAATGGTATTTGGCCAGCCGGCGCTCAAGCCGCCAAAAAAGCTGCCCGAAAGAACAGTCTTCATCACGATCGCCATACTTTCCATTATATTTTTGCCGACGATAATAGCGAGGATAACGGGCGTGGTCGTACCGAGGCAGCCGCCACCGATCGCCAGCTTCAAGGATGCGATAGCTGCCAAACTCCAGCCCTACGCTTTCCACGGGCTGCTGGAGCTGCTGTCCAACGACGACGACAAGTACGCCTCCCTTATCACCGCCAACATCATTCTCTATAACGATACGGATTATTGCTTAAAATTGCTGCTGACGAGCAAGGAGCACACCATGTGCTTCACCCCCGAGACCCAGGCGAAGATGTATGCCAACAAGTACAGAAAACCGGACGGCAGTCCTATGATTAAGCTCACCGACCTCAGGGTCTCCCTCATGGCGGAGGCTTTAATCTACGAGGAGGGATCACCTTTCGTCGAGAAATTCGATAAGATTGTCCAGAGGATTATGGAATCGGGCGTTTGGGTATTATGGGGCCCGAAATATCCCAAGCTGCAGTCGATGGACCGCGAAGAATTTTCTCCCGACAGTAACGATCGCATCGATTCCGTTCAATTATCAATAATGTATGTGTGCGGATGCATTTTGGCGTCATTTAGTTTTGTTATGGAAGTGCTAGTCACGCATTTTAGGCTGCGCAGCTAAATTTCCAATTTACGAAAGCGTACGAAATTCATTCGTCGCCGCGAAACTCATTTTTTATTACGACTCTTCATATTAATGCTAAATTATTTATGTTAACTTATTTATTTATGTTAAATAATGTCATAATAATAATTTCATATTAATTTCATAATAATACACGTACACGCACACCAGTCATTATTTGTTCCTTAAGAATTTTCCCTTCGCTTGTTTTACAATTCAAATTCGTCTTTATTCCGATGATTAAGTAATGCTTTCAATTTATTAAAAATAATACGTACGCTAATCCCATAACTCCGTATTGTATTATTAATTTAAACGATATATTTAATTGTGAATTGTAAACGACTTTGCAAATAGGAAAAAAATTACCCAATGGTGGCCGCGATATGGTTTATTAAAAGTTTTAAGATTTATATTTTATATTACATTTGTGGTGAATCACTTGTTGCCAATGGCAATCATAATGCGAACTCGAGTTTGAAACACTAAAGTAATTATTATTATAATATACAATAATTACATTTATTAAAGTTTTAAAATTTTATTTGCAAAATTTTTTTTCTTTCTTTCGTTTTGACATCAGTCGGTATTAATAATATTATTATTTTCCGCAAAATATTATAATTAACACAATACTTAATTTAATTGCAATACTTTAAAAATAATAACTCCTCTCCCTCTCTCTCTCTCTCTCTCTCTCTCTCTCTCTCTCTCTCTCTCTCTCTGTGTTAATGACAGACAGTGTCGCACATTAGTCACATTACCACTAAATATTTAAATTTCTTAATTAAATATCTTTAATAGGGCCATATAATAATCTTAATAAAATCTATTGATTAAATTATATTTTTATTTCGTCTATTCTACACAATATTACAATAATATATACACAATATAATTTAACTATAAGTAAATAATTAAGGCATCGAGTGATTAATATTTTTTTTTTTTTTTTTTTTTTCATATTTTTTTAACACTTTTATTGGATTCTCATTAAATTATATATTATTCTTGTAATAAGGCTCACTTTGTATACAGGAATTATTTCAATTTGTATGGAGTTTTATTTATGATCTGAAATTATTTATCATGACAAAAGTAGACAAATGGTTATAGTTAACTACAAATTATTAGTTGTGTTAAAGGGAAAACGAAGAAGGAAATATTACATCAAAATAAATCGCTTCCACTATTTGAACGGCAAATTAAAAGAATTTATATCATGCACACTATAAGTGAATTTTTTTGACATATTTAAAAACTTATCAAATTATATTCCTTTTTAATAATTTTCCTCTTCAAAGATTGGAGGATGGTGAAAAGCGTTTTTCGGTATCTTAATCATTACATCTTATTGATTATGACGTAATCGTTTAAAAAAAAAAAAAAAGAAATAAATAGATTACAATTTATCAAATATAATATAATTATGTTTAAAAATCTATACATAATAATCAATGTTTATAACAATTGTAATTATTAAACATTATTAAAGCTGTGATTAACAAAAATTTCAAGCATTTAATTTTTACTTATATTGTTATCTTCTTTGGTTTGACATTTATAGGGAGTGGAATTAACTTGAATTAATGACATTTCATTTTATACAAAATTTAATATGTTTATAAAAATATACATATTTTTGACTTATCTATTATACTTTATACTAGTATTTTATTCATTTTATGTAGCCAAAAATTATTTCACAATAGATGAAATATCTTGTAAAATTATTCACTATTTTCTTTCTAAATGTTCCTGTTTCTAAATTCTAAGGACATTATGTTTTAATAATGGGCAACTTAATGATGATTTAAATTTTGTTTCTTCAATCGAATGCCTTAAATTGACTAATATTTAATAATTAAATCATTTTTATGGCAGAATATAAGGTGATTTATTATTAATATTCGGATTCGGTTGATATAATGGTAAATTAGATTATTAATAAATTGGATACTAAAATTGAAGTCAAATTTGTGCAGCAAACTTATCATTTTCATTCAATTAATCTGATTATAATTTTTTCACACTGATTATTCGTATAATATTAAAATCCTCTCAAAAAAAATATGAATTTCAATATTTTATCCTAAAAAAATATATATATTAATTTTTTTTTTTTTATTTATTTATTTATTTTTTTTTTTGCTAAACCGATCGATTAACCTATTCGCAAGAGTTATTATTATAAATTAAAAAGAACCTGATTGCCGTCAAATTTTTTTTTTTTTTTTTTTTTTTTTTTACAGTTATAACGGTTGATTGGCATTTAAATTTTTTTTAAAAGCTCAAGTTTTTTTCTCCTTTAATCACAGCTTTCATCTCACTGTAAAAGAAACGGAAATAATTAATACAATATATATATATATTTTTTTTTTTAATAAACAACAAAAAAAAAAAAAAAAAAAAAGAAAAAAAATTTTAT